CTCGAGCTCCGCCTGCAGCTCCTCGCAACGGGGGTCCGGGGGCGCCGCTGCCCGGAGCTCGGCGACCTCCGCCTCCAGATCGCGGCAGAGGGCGGCAGGGGGGCTGGAGGGAGGGAGGGGGGACGAGGGCTCGAGGGCGAGGAGTGGAAGATTCGCCCGAAGAGGGAGGGACATGGACCACAAGAGTTCGGACGGCACGCCGTCCAGGCCTAGCGAGGCGCATCTGCCGCTCAGAGGCTTACATCGCACTGGCGAGAACAAACACCACCCATCTTGGCGCGGACTCATGGGCCAGGCCCCCCAATAAACAAAACGCGGGTCTGTGGCGATCGCGGGCGCCGTCTGCGCGCCCGAGCAACAGGCGCCGGCTTCTGGCGCGCCCTGCCCTGTGCGCATCGGCACCTCAGTGAGCCGCGGGCGGCGCCAACTTGGGCGTCCCTCGCAGCGGCATAATAGGAAGGCCGCGGAACAGCGGCCGCCTGTTATCGCAGCGCGTTCGATAAAGGAGAAGCCAACACTTGTGCGCCAACGCTGGGCTTGCAAGGTCGGCCCTGAGGCTTCCCTGGAGAATGGCCCCGAGAGAAGCGATCGGACGGGCCGCCTGTTGCAGGTTGTTCGAGGCGGACTGAGCTCGTAAGGTTTCTGGCACGCTGCTGCAGCGCCGTGGTGCTAGCGATGAAAGCCGCTTCCCATTCCCGATCTGCGAGTTGTCTGACAGCGCTGAAGTGCTGCGCGAGGGCGTGCCTATGATCCGTTCGCAGCGTCGGTGACCCATCAGTGCCTGCGCCCGCTCGGGCGGCATGGCGGTCGCCAGTCCCCGTGCCCTGCCGTGGGGCGCGGGGGGGCGCTGCTAGGGGCGGCGGCCTCGGAGGCGGGGTCCTGGTGGGCAACTGCCCCTTGCAGCGCGGCTCCCGAGTGCCTCTGCTGGCTGGCTCCGAACAAATGCTGTGGTCGTCGGCGTCGCGGCGCGCGCTATCGTAAGCTCCTGCTGGGTAGCGGCGCTTGCTACCTCGTTGTCCAAAGGCTGCACCGCGCCCCGCTAGGCCATCGTCATCTCCCGCGGGATCTTCGGCTAGGCCGCCCCGCGGGTCGTCGAGATCGTCGAAGACGCCCGGCCCTGGCGGGCCTTGCAGTTTCGAAGGATCGCTAGGTGAGCCTCGTGGCACGTCAGCTCCTTCCCCGACGGCGAGCGGGATGGGCTCAGTTTTGCTTTTAGTTCTGCCCGAGAGTAATTAACCCGCGCCTCTGTTTGGCAAGGGCAAGGCGCGGTGGCGACAGTCATAGATCGCGACGGCTGCGCTGTGGAGAACCGTCGCGAACGCGCGTCGCGATGCGGCTAGGTTGCGCGGACGAACTCCAGCAATTGCGAGTTCACGTGCGAGGCGGTTAAAGGACTCCGCGATCGGCGTGGCTCGACCTTCTATTATGCCTCGCACACCAAGATGGCTTTTGACTTTATGTGCCTTCAACATCTCGAGTCTGGCTTGTAGCGCACGATGAATATTTTGCAGGGTCGGCCTTGGCCCCAATGGCGCGCGGTGGCTTTCCTGCAAGGAGGGTCTCGCGTCCTTCGACGACGGCCCGGCCACCCGCGGAAGCGTGGAGAGGCGGAGCAGGGCAAGGGCCTAAGCGCGCCGCGCGGACTGGCCCAAACCGCGCGCCCGAGCGAAATGGCAAAACCGGTGGGCAGGCCCGCGGTCGACTCCGAAACCAGCTCTGGCGAGGGGCGGGCGGGCCTGGTGCGCGCAGCCTCCGTCAGAGGCCGCGTGGAACGCCCTGGCCCCCGCGTCGTCGCCGGTGCGCTCATCGAACAGATGGGCTTCGGAACCCTCGGGGGGGGCCCGGGGGGTGGGTCCATGGGAGCTCGCCCTGTGCTGGGGCGGCCTGAAGGCCCTGCCGCTGCGGGCCCCCGCCCAGCAGCCCGAAATGCGTTGCGCGAGGCGCGATCCCAGAAGGGCATCTCCGCGGCCTGTGTTGCTTGGTATCTCCTGCTTGGTGACGCCATCTGCGCCCGTGCGGCTAGCCTCCGACGGGCGCGGCCATCGCCGCAATGGTAGCTCCAGCGAAGGCCGAGCTGCCAGGCTGTGAAGTTCGCGTTGCCGCTGGTTTTCTGTAGCCAGACAGTGGCAAAATCGCCGAAGCCTCGTTTGACCGTGGCGACCGCGCCCAAATCGCGTCTGGCGGCAAAGATGCGTCGGCGGAAAGATCTTCTTGATGACGCTCGGAGCATGCGAGTGAACAAGGCGACCGGAGGGTGCAGCCAGAACCAGCGGGCACCCCTGTCGCCATGCAATGGGTTGCCAGATGTTACCAACCGGGCCACCTCCTTAGAAAGTCTGCGCGTGGTCGCGCAAAACCTCAGCCTTAGCGATGGGACGGGTGTCTGTCCGCGCCTGTCTCTGCTGTCCGAGAAGGGCCCCCCACTGCGTTATGGCGCCCAAGTCATTGGCATGCCCTAGGGCGATGTGAGCGTTGAGGGCTGTCTGCGTGATGCAGGAACGCCCCTCGGGGCGAAGGGAAGGCCAGCCAAACTCTACTTCGGTAACTGCGAGTCGCACCCTCGCGCTGGGGGCTTGGATGTCGGCACCAGTGGCGCACGTGCTAGCAGCGGGGGCGCCTGACCGAGCGGGCACGAGCATGGGCACTTTCGGGGAGGCGCCCAATGCGTGGGAGTCTGACAGTAGCGCGCCGAAGTCCAACATCCGCGTTGGCCGCCAGGTTCAGTTCGGCATCGTCCGCTGCCGGCGCCACGCGCACGTAGCACCCCACAAACTCCACCTGGTGTTGTGCTTGCAGCGGGTGTCCGTGGCGCTGGCGAGCGGCCACCTGGTGGCATAGGTCTTCACCGACCCTCAGCCGACGATTCTACCAGGGTGGATGTTTGTTAAGTGAGAGGCGGTCGAAGAGGACGGTCCTCGTCAAGAGACCTGGGGCTGCCTGCCAGCGGGCGCATTGGAGTTCGTGTCGTCGACGAAGGTCGTGCTCAGTGATCGTGGCACGCAGCGGTTTGGTCTCTTGGCCCAGACACACATCACGAGCCTGATGCCGCAAGCAGAAGAATCGCCTTGAAGGTAACAACCAATGCGTGCCAAGTGTCTCGAATACGCTCCTCCCGTGTAAGTATACACCTGGTGGTTATCGTCGGAGAATCATGTGCCTTGGACGATGTGCGGGGGCACCCCGCGTGCAGCGCCACGATGACACATATGTCCGTGACAAGAGAATCGAATCACGTGTGCTTGTCGAATGCAACTCTTGCCAAGAGCACCTGGAGGTGACGGGCGTGTTCCACGTGTAACGCCAGCGTGGTGCTGACGTCTCCGATGGTGGCGTGCGGTGCCGCGCCGAAGTTTGCTGGGTGAGTCCTGTGGGCGTTCCATGATGCGGTAAGCTGGTCCCACGTGCGCATCCATATAATATAGAAACGACTGAAATCAGGCGCCAGTCCGTGGGCAGTTCCCCTTTTTTCTTCCCGAAGGCAGGGGTTCGGGATGTGGATGAGGGGCTCAAGCACTTCCCCCGTGCGTTGCATGGATTTCAAAGCTGCAGCAAGAAAGGGGAAAGACTCCGTCGTCAAGCAACGTCTTGGCTTCTTCGGTGGTCCGTCCGCCTAGGCCACACGTTCTAGCAACAAGTCGGGTGCGGATGATAGGAGTGAGCGCCTCGCCAATGAGGACGTAAGGTGCATCAATGGCGGGACCAAGGAGTTCCGTGTGGCACTCCACCTCGAGCTAGCCCTCGCCTGCCGGCACCGCCAGTGTCCGTCGTGAGCCTGCGCACGGCCCTCGTGCTCGCCAGGAGCTGGCTTTGCCTGTTGGGCGAGGCGGGGCCTTCGGAGTCGGACTCGCCCGCGGTGCTCCTGGGCCTGCGGAGGAGGAGGAGGAGGAGGAGGAGGAGGAGGAGGCGGAGGAGGAGGAAGCGGAGGAGGAGGAGGAGGAGGAGGAGGCGGAGGAGGAGGAGGAGAAGGAGTCGGACTCGCCCAAGGGCTCCCTGCTTGTGACTGCGAGGCGGGTGACTGCGAGCCTGGTGGCTCAACGTCGGGGGGGGGGGCGCGGCACGCTCGCCTGCTGACTTGCCGTGAGCGGGCCCGCCCACGTGCGCAGGTGGACCGCACCGGAGTTGTCCACGGCTTCGACCCACGGGTGGCCCACCCTTCGGCGGCGAGCGAGGAGGGGGAAGCGAGAAGGAGAAGGCCTTCTCACAAGGCAGCGGGGCTTCTCGGACGCCCTCGCGCCTCCCGACGAGTGCTTGCTGTCTCCAGGGAGGGCCCAGAAAACCTCTCAGAAGGCAGGCCGGGGGGCTTCCGAACCTTCTGACGAGTTGTTTTTGCTTTTTGGCACCTCCACGCAAACAGCTCAGCGGCGCATGCGATACACCTCAGAGCTAATTCGAATACCCCGTGCGATCGGAAGGAGGTGAAACGCCAGGGATGCAGAGCTCCGAACCTCCTAAGAAGGCCTTCGCCTTCTCGCGTCCCCCCCTCGCTCACCGCCGAGCCCTGCCTACCGTCACCGGCTCTCGCCCGAGCGCGCAAGGCCTGGGCACTTACAGCTCTGGCGTTGTCCCAATGGCTGCCCCTTTCGCAGCTGGCGCCCCCGTGGAGGCGAGCAAGTCTTCCGGCCTGCGGGAGGATGGAGGGACAGAGGCAGGCCAGTGGGCGCAAGCAAGGAGGGAGCGAGAGAGAGAGAGAGAGACGTCCCTCCGTCCAGCACGTCTCGAGTGACAGGAGGATGAGGAGGAGGAGGAGGAGGAGGAGGAGCAGGAGGAGGAGAAGGAGGAGGAGGGGGAGGAGGAGGAGGAGGAGGAGGAGGAGGAGGAGGAGGAGGCGGAGGAGGAAGAGGAGGAGGAGCAGAATGAGGAGAAGCAGCAGGAGCAGGAGGAACAGACGAGAGGGAGGGGGAGAAGGAGCAGGAGTGAGGAAGGGGGACTGTGGTGGGAAAAAGTTGCATTCGCCAAGTCGGCGCAAGTTTGATTCTTATGTAGAAAATAAGCTCCCGCCTCCATCGACATCCTCCTTCTCCTCTGGCCTTCCCTGCCTCCTCCTCCAACGGTCTCCTCCTCCCCCTTCCACCTCACCATTCGCCACCCACTCCTCGGTCAACCTCTGACAGCTCCGCAAAAACCTGCACACGCCTTCAGGACATGAACCTGCAAATCCATCTGGAAACCGACACAAAACCTCAACAACTCGTGCGACACCGCAACGGAATAGCTGAAACCCTCCGCGACCCTTCTTCCTCCTCCTCCTCCTCCTCCTCCTCCTCCTCCTTCTCCTCGTCCTTCTGCCCACCCCGCCCTGACGAAGTCAAAAGATACCGATACCGCAACTCCACGACCGTCTCCTGGGGAGCGAATCCTCTAACCGCGGCGACGAGGGGAAAACAACAAGATCGACACCTCTTCCTCTTCTCCCCCCCCCCCGGGCTCGCCTCCCGCTCCTCCTCCGCCCTCTGCCTCCTTCGCTTTCTCATCACCAGCCGAGCCGAATTCGGAGCCGCTTGGCCTCGAGCCCGTCGCTCTTCTGCCGCAGCGTCTGCACCACGGCTTGGAGCTTCTGCTGCACTTGCGACGAGCGCGCGAGCTCGTCCCTCTCGGCAGCAGGGCTACGGGTTCTCACACCGCAAACCGCGGCGACAACAGACATCACGAGCGGCTAACATATCCATACTCACGCCCTGGCGGTCAAGAAGCTGGGTCGTGATCTCATGGATGCGCGGTCGCACAGGTACGTGCCGCGCGGGGCAGCCGCGAGAACAACGCATCGTATCCGTGGGGCTGCGCGGCAAAGGGGACTGGCCCGCGAGACCGTGGATACGGAGATGTTTCCCGCTCACGAAACAACAATTATCTGTTGAGCGATGACGCAGTGGTGAGGCTTTCGCCGCGTGGCCTGCGGGCCTGTGACCCAGAAAGGACAGGGCGGGGAAAGGGGCCTGAAGCGATACTGTGCGTTGATGCACGACTCTACCAAAACAAGCTACAACCAATCCCCGCCTCGGTCACACCGTGAAGGGACACCCCCCAAACTTGATAATGAGCCTGGATGGTCGGATTCGCCGGATTCGGGGCCCATTGGGATCTTGGGGTCCGTTCGGAGCCCCAGGGTCCCACCACAAAGATCCACTTCGCCTATCAAACCGCAGACTTGCGGGTGAGATCAGCGGGAAATGTGCTTCTGTTCGGCTCGTGTCGCGCGCGCGGGTGACCTAAAACTGCGTGTACGGGCAGGAGGGGATCACCAGCCATACCTAGCGCCAAAGCGACAAACATGGAATCATGCCTGTCTGAGACGGTGGAGCACGGTTTGTCTCGTGAGCGCGTCGTCCTGCAATTGTGCTGTGCAGCGGTCCCGTGGTTGTCCCTTGCGGGCGCCACGTGGCTGTCCAGTGGGTATCCCGTGTGGTTTGCACGTGGGTATCCCGTGCGATTGTCCCTAGTTTGCCTCGCGTGGTTGTCTTTTAGTTTATCCATTGGCTGCCCAATACAATTGTCCCGTATTGTTGGTGGGCTGGCTGTTCTCTGAGTGGGTACAGCGCTTTGTAGAGCATGGTATATATTTACAGATGTACATATTATGAAAATAAGTTTTAGGAAAAAACACGTGACTGTTGTTGTTTGTCTGTCTCGGGTTGTCTCGACGATTGGATTGCGCGTCTGGTTTGATGTCCGAGGGTGTCCGACGGGGGGGGGTCTGTTTCGATCTGTTTCGGAGTTTCCGAGAAGACCTTCAGATTTTGTCCGTCACCAGTTTGCCCACGGGTGCGGGGTCCGTCTGAACGCGTCGCCAAACGAAAACGCCTGGCGTGGGGGGAGGGCGGGCAGGAGAACCCAGAATCCAATCGATACATCGGATCGGCGATCGACATGAATCGGATCTGCGAAAATTGGCAGCCAAGTCGGGAAAAGTTGAATCGGCGGAAATCGGCAGGCTACTACGCTTCTAGTATGACATCGGAACCCGAATTGGAATCCAAAGTCGAATGGAATCGGAATCGGAAGCCGTCGAAGTCGAATCGAATCGAATCGGCGGAATCGAAACGAGCCCTGGGCGGTGGGCTGAATTTGATGTGCGGCAAGTTCGCCTTCGGTTGGAAGGAAGGTCTCCTCGATGCCAATCGGAGGCCGGGGGGGGCACTCTGATGTGCGCCATGGCCATGTTGGCTGCCGGTTGGAAAGGTGGATCTCCTCGACGCCATTCGGAGACTTGGGTGAGGGGGGGTAATTGTCACCGTTCGACGGATCGTTGTCAGGGCCCGTCTCGATGTTGTTTGGCGCAGCGCCCGCGCCCCACCAAGGGGTGGGTCTCCCCGCAAGGTGTCGGTGATGCTTGCGGAAGGGGGGGGCGGCCGTGCCCCGACATGGGGCGGGGGCCTGACAGACTTTGTCCAGAGCTCCTGGGCGGGGTCGGCGCCCTTTTTCGCAATCTCCGAGGATGGGATTCCTGCTATCATTCAAACGCCCGCGGACCTCCTCCCACATCGCGCACCCCTCCTCCTCCTCCTCCTCCTTCTCCTCCTCCTCCTCCTCCTCCTCCTCCTCCTCCTCCTCCTCCTCGACGTCCTCCTCCTCCTCGTCCTCCTTCTCCATCATCGTATCCACTCACGCATGCCCAGGCTCATCCATGCCCAGACTCGCTCACAGCTAGACTGACTCGTACCCATGCTGCCTCATGCTCAGACTCACTCAAAACCAGCATCGCCCTCACTATTACTTACTTAAGTTCCATGCTCACCGCGACAAAAAAAGGCCTGCCACTTGGGCACCCCAAGGGGGATCCGCCAGAAGTGGGGGCACTCGAAGATTCTCAGCGAAAACGTGGGGGTATCTAATGCGGGTTGCTCGCTTCTGCTCCCAAGTTTTGCTTTGGACCTGTGTGCTCCCCAGCCACTCACTCACCTCATCCTCCTGCTCCTCCTCCTCCTCACCCCTTCCTCGTTCTTGCCATCGCTCAGACGCAAGCGTTCACGTTCAGACTTGCTCATGAGCACCTTTTCCTCGCTCAGACCCGCTCAGCAAACTCAGACCCACCCATACCCAGACACACTCGTACTCAAGCTTACTTTTACCGAGACCCACTCATACTCATACTCACTCAAAATCAAGCTGGATCACGTCCTCGCTGAATCACTCCGACTCACTCACCTCAGGCGCACCCACCCTCAAACACACTCATGCGTAGACCCAACCGTATTCAAGCTCGCTCACACCCAGACTTCCATCCATAATGCTCCTCACACCCAGACTCATTCACACACAGATCCCCTCACACTCAGACCCACCAGACCCACTCGCGCTCAAACTCTCTCACACTCAGACTCACGCATATGCAGACATACTTGTATTTTGAATCGTTTAACTCAGACTCACTCACATTCGGGTTCAGCCGTGCCCAGGTTCACTCGCACCTGGCTTCATTTGCACCTATTAAACTCAAGCTTAGGCTCCCTCAGACAACAAGCTCACACTCTGGAGGTTACCGCGATACAGTATGCGTGGCACTTTGGCACCCCAAGTGCCAACAAGCGACGCGAGTAGCATCCCAGAGAGCGCGCGCAACAATGCCATGCACTCTTGCCCCGGATGCCGCGGTGAGAACGGCAAGAGGAACACCCCTCGCTAATCCACCTGAGTTTACGTCATCTGTCCTGAGAAATGTCTCAAAAGAGGGGGGCGCCACTGAAATCGTCGCGGTCGTCGTCGTCACTGTCGCGCACCTCGTCTACACGGACTCGCTGTTACACCCAGATAATCAAAGACAGAGTTTACCAGCGAGGCTTAAAAGGAGTATGAGATGCACATCTGGGGATCTCCACGTCGAGTTATGCTTCGACCCTCACCCTGCAGATACAGCGGGGGAATGCCCTCGTTGCGCTCGCTGCTAAGATCCGCCATCGTTCCCCCTGGCACGTTGAGGCGTGGTCGAATGTCAAGTGCTATCCGGTAGGGTGTTCGAAAAACTTCGAAGGCCCACCCCATCCGCACACACTGTCGTAGCGCCCCCTCCACCCCCGGGCCGCCGAGATGGCCCGACATTGCGTTAAGAGGCACCCACCAGCTCCCAAGAAGCACCGACTAGATATGAACAGCCCCAAATAAGCCCAAATACGCCTACAAGACGCTCTCCAGGAGGCACTGGAGACGCCAAAGCAAATGGCCCCCCTCAGGTTCTCAACGTATTTTGCTTTTTCCACGCTCTTCGGTGGAAAACCGGCCCACCTGAGACATTCAAAAGGCCCCAAAGGGCCCACTCAGATCCACTGCCCCAAGATAACACACGCTGGCCCAAGAGGGCCTCTGAGGGACCCAAGACGGCCTCAGAGGGCCCATGGACTGGTCAAGAATGCCCCGACGTGGGCCCGCGACGGCTCCGAGCGACCCCCCACGAAGGGTAAGAAAGCGTCAAGACAGCGCAGGGAAGTAGAGTTCCAATACAGCGCAAGAGGGCCCCAAGACGGTCCCAAAAAAACACGCCACGAGACGGCCCAAGATGGCGCCACTAGAGGGCCCCAATCCCAGTGGACCCACAAGACTAACTGCCCCACAGGAGCTTCAATACAGCCCCAAGACAGCCCAATTGGGTCTCATGCAAGCTCCTCACGAAGTGGAGACGAGAAGTGTTCCACATGACGGCCTGCTGGGCTATGCTTTACGACACGATCTCAATATTCGACGTCGTGGTTGTTACCAAATGCCTGGGCACTAGAAGTCTCGACTCATTTCCGGGGACCGGTTTTTCATTTCCCGATAGTTGTTCGACGGTCCTAGGGCCCTAGAAATGCCTCCAGACGCCAGAGTTGGGAGGAGCTCAAGATATACACCAATTTTTGCTGGCCGCCGAAGGAGCTCACGCCACCGTGCCGCTGGGCTCGGAGTTGGCGTGTCCTCAAGTCCTTTGCCCAATCCCCTGGGCCTCAGACCTCAATGCTGAGGATTCCATTTGGGACCCCGACCCTAACTTCTCAAAATCTTCTGGGGCTTGGCGCTTGCCCCCTGTGGTTCCCGGCGGCTTCTCGCGTGACTTTGTCTGGCCCAGGAGGGCCCAAAATGGGGCGAGAGAACTCCAAGAGGCTCCCAAGACAATCCGTGAGGGCCCCGAGTCACCGAAAGATAGCACGAACACGCCCATGGCGTCCAGACGGCCGAAGAGGTCTCCAAGACGCTCCACAAGAGGCCTCGAAGGTGGCTCCCCACAGCGCCCCGAGAGGCAAAATCCAGGGATTGCCTCGGGCTTCCGAGAATCTCTTGGCGCTCTCGCCTGTTCGGCTTCCGACGCTGCCAGACGGCCAGAGAGGGCCCATAAGATCCGCTCCGGACCCGAGGAGGAGGAGGAGGAGGAGGAGGAGGAGGAGGAGGAGGAGGAGGAGGAGGAGGAGGGGCGCCGAGGGGGGAATGGCCCGCGGCGCTCCGAGAGGTCAGGCCTGCTCGAGAGGCGGGCGGTCGGAAGGCGGCGGGGCTTTGGAGAAGGCTTCGACAGCTTCCTGCGAGGCCGGAGGCCTTTCTTTGAGCCTTCCTCTGAGGCCGCCCCCCACAAAGGGCCTAAGAGGCCTCCAAGAAGGCCCCAAGAAGATCCAAGAGGGCCCACAGACGGCCCACGAGGCCACGAGGTGCCCAAGGCGGCCCCCAGAGGCCCCAAAGACGGCTCCCAGAGGGGGCCCAAATGGGGGACCCCAGCAAACATTTCGAGCCCTAGGAGGCCCCAAGATGCCCCCAAGAGGACCCCAAGATGCCCCCAAGAGGCCCCCAAGAGGCCCCCAAGAGGCCCTCAAGAGGCTCCCAAGAGGCTGCCAAGAGGCCCTAAAACTGCCCCCAAGAGACCCCCGAGAGCGCTCCGAAGAGACCCCAATAATCATCCCTGAGAACTCTGACCCACAACCCAGGCAAGGTATCGAGATATGGGCCGACGGCCACACACATCTACCTATATCTATATATATATATATATCTATATAGCTATCCATCTATCTATATATATATCTATCTCTATATATATATATATCTATCTATCTATGTATCTATATATATACAGGGAGAGAGAGAGAGAGAGAGAGAGGTGTGTGTATGAGTGTGTAAGATAGCGTAAATATCATAGCGGGTGTGTTTAACAATATACGTGCTGCAATATATGTGGTTCCATCTAGGTTGTGCAGCCTATAGTGTGATATGAAATCTCTGTGGTGCAATACACGTGGTGTAATACATGGTGTGCACTCTAGCTGATGCATTCGATGTTGTACAGTCTATGTTGTGTAATCTAGATCACGAAATCTGTGGTGTAAGATATGTTGCGCACTCGTGTAATAGCAATGTAACGCAATGCATAGCAGAACATCGCAATTCAATGCAGAGCAAGCAGGGCACATCAATGCAAAGCAATGCGTAGCAACGCATAGCAACGCAAAACGCTGCGATGCCAAGCAACGCATTGCCATGCAAAGACATCCAATCTATGCAAAACCAAGCAACGCGATGCAATGCAACGAAATGCAGTGCGCATCACGGGGTAACTGTGCACGGGCGGTGACGAGGCGGCGACAAAAGCGGCGACGGCCACATAGCCGCCAGACCGAAGACACGGCCCAGACGACGGGCGGCGACGAGGCGGCGACGGGGCGGCGACGGCGGCCACATAGCCGCCAGACCGAAGACACGGCCCAGATGACGGGCGGCGACGAGGTGGCGACGGGGCGGCGACGACGGCCACATAGCAGCCAGACCGAAGAGACCCAGACGACGGGCGGCGACGAGGTGGCGACGGGGCGGCGACGACGGCCACATAGCAGCCAGACCGAAGAGATGACCCTGTTCCTTAGAGAATGGATTGTGCAATACACGTTGTGCAACCTATGCTGTGCAATCTGTGTGGTGGAACACAGATTTGGTTTGCAGTCTGTGGGACCCAGTAGATGTCGTGCAACAGATGTGGTGCAATCTATGCTGTGAGCGATCAGAGAGCTCGCCGCAGGCGCGATCTTTTTTCGTTCAGCCTATGTGGTGCAATGCAACGGCGGCGACGGGTGGCGACGAGGCGGCGGCGGCGTGAACATAGCCACCAAGACCGCTCAGACGGCTCAGACGACGGGCGGCGACGAGGCGGCGACGGCGGGAACACAGCCACCAAGACCGCCTAGACGGCCCAAATTCCTTAGACCAGAAGTAAGAATCCCAAAATGCAAGCACCGTCTTGGAATCTCTGTATGCATGTACACATGTATACACACTCTTTTTGGCACCGCGGCCTCGCGCGCAGCATCAAGCCGTAGAAAGTCGGGCGAAACATGCAGCAGACGCGCGCGGCCCGCCCCTCAGAAGATGGGGCAGGGACCCACGCGAGGGGTTCAACCGTGCCATGCGCATACCCCAGCATGAGCAGCGCGGGAGGAGGGGAGAGAGGAGGGAGTGCGCCGACAGGCCAGTGCGACAACACATGAGCGGCAAGGCGAGGCAAACTGCCACCAGCACGACCGGCGAGGACGAGGAGCAAGGCCGGCCACGAGAGACGGCGCAGTGCCGACTGGAAGGCGAAACCGGGCGGCACGGGAGGAGCACGGCGCAAAGTAGCCGTCCGGCAGTGCGACGGGGACGCCTGGAGGCAGGAGGCGCGGCGACGGCCCCAGAAGCAACGGGTGCGGCACCACCGAGCACGCACCCGCGCGCGCCCCAGCTTCCCAAGCAGTGGGATGCTGCAGGCCGCAGCGTCCACATGCACGGAGCGCGTTCCCCGAAGTCCTTGGCTGCTTGTCCGATCCAATGACGAAACGTACGCACTGTGGGTCTCTGGGCGTGTAAGATTCTTCCCCCCCCTAACCCCCTAAGTGGCAAGTTGACCCCCCCCCTGGTGGCCGAGGACGACGCACCCCCGAACTCACCCGGGGGGGCCCAGGGGTCCCTTTGGAGCGCCAAGACAAGCCCTGAGTCCTCCCAAGAGACCCTCCACAAAGTCCCAATCGCCGACATACCGTTCCCAGATGCCCAAGATGGCGGCCACACGGCCCAAGATGCCTCCAAGAAGCCCCCGAAAGCCTCCAATCGTCTCTTCCAGAGGGGCCCAAAAAGCAAAAATAGTCACATTCCTGTGGGAAGACTTAATTTGTTAATACATTCGCCTGTAGGGTCTTCACATCCACGACGGCCCCAGAAGCCCCCAAAACGGCTCGAAGACAGACCAAGAGCGCCTCAAGACGGCCACAGATGCCCCCAACACGGCCCAAGAGGCCCCAAACACGGCTCCAAGACAGCCCAAGAGAGCCCCAAGACGGCCAAAGAAGCCCCCACAACTGGTCAAAAGGGCTCCAGGACATCGGAGATTCTGAGCCGACGGCCCCAAGACGCCCCCAGGTTGTCCCAAGAAGCTCCCAAGAGGCCCCACTGGGCCCCCAAGGAACCCCAGACAAGCCCCCAAACGCCCCTCCGAGCTCCCCAGGAGGCCCCCAAGAGGCCCAAGAATTGGCTACAAGACGCCTCGGCATGCAGGCGGCCCCAGATGCCCCCAACACAACCCTACACCCACCCTCTCGCTTTCATCTGCACCGCCATCACCCTGGACGCCCCCACGAACCATAGGAAAGCAATCTGGACTCAAGGGGGGCCGGCGGATGTGGCGTAAGCCTCTAGAATCTCCTCCACGCCCAACGCTCCGCGACCTCCGCGGTGGCACGGCTTCAGATCAGTGGACGTGGACCCCCCCCCCCCCGGGCGTGGGCACGCTGCACCGCTGGAGGAGGAACAACTGCAGAAACAGAAACTTACGACGGTCCGCGCAAATGCCTTGGATCTGCGCTGGACCCCCCCCTCCCTGGCGCGCGGAGCGCGCCAGGGGGCGGCGGCACCAGGGGTGGCACCAGGGCCGCGGGCCGCCGCCACGGGGGGCCAGCGCAGGTCCTACAAATCCGCGGGGAGTTCGGGACGTTCATTGAAGGGGCCCCAGGACACAAATAAATACACACAAATAACAGGATTCTCCATATTTCCCATCTTTTCTGGGTTTTTGTCTTCCACACCACTTCCCATATGTTCCCATACTTTCCTGGGAATCGACGATTAATTTTGTCTGTGTGTTTTTCCCCCCTGATTGATGTTGACATGCAGCTCCTTCCTCTTCAAATTCTTGGGCGACCGAATGATCCTGGAGAACTGCAGTCTGGAGCAACTCCGCTTTGGACCCCCGGGGCGCGAATCTGTAGCTACCCCTGACTTTCCCCCGCCCTGATGACCCTGGAAGGGTTGGGCGCCCGAAGGATCCGGGATACCTGCGGTCCAGGGTGACTTCGGTCTGGGCCCTGGCGGCGCGAATCTGTAGCTACCGCTGACTGCCCCTGAATTGGATCGACGATCGACATGAATCGGACCGGCGAAAATCGGCAGCCAAGTCGGGAAAAGTCGAGCCGGCGGACATCGGCAGGCTCGTAGGCCTCCATTGAGTAATCGGAGTCAAAATCGGGATCCCAAGCCGAATCGCATCGGAATCGGAGGCCATCGAAATCGAATCGATTCGAACCGGAAGAATCGAAATGAGCCCCGGACCTCTCGGCCTCCCACAGGCTCCGCCAGTAGGCCACGGAGCCGGCGTCCCCGTGAGACCCCATGCGGCGCGCCCTATCGGCCGACCTATGGGGCTAGGCCGGGCGGCCTTCCCCGCCTCGAGCGGCGACGGCTGCGGCGCCGACGACTGGCGCGGAGGAGGACGGCGCGGATGGCGGGCGCTGTTCGGTGGCATCTCCAGTGAGGGGCAACGATGGGGGGGGGGGGGGGATAGGCACAGGGGGGGGCCTGGGCTCGGCGATGCCTCGTCGATAGATCCGGCGATGGGCCCCCGATGCTGAGCCCGCACCTCCCTGGGCGGGGCGGGGCTATCGGGCCCCTGCCGGCGAGGAATGGGCGACGGGGGGCCGATGCGTCGCCCCCCCCCGTGCCTCTCCCCCCCCCGCTCGCTGCCCCCGGTCCTGGGGCCTCCCATGCCCGACGTGCTCGCGTGGTGCAGGGAGGAGGGGGAGGAGGGGGAGGAGGGGGAGGAGGGGGAGGAGGGGAGGAGGAGGAGGAGGAGGAGGAGGAGGAGGAGGAGGAGGAGGAGGAGGAGGAGGAGGAGCAGCAGGCAGGGCGGGGGGGGGGGGCTCCCGGTCGCGGCCGGTCTCCGAGGGGCCTATAGGGCCCTGCCGCGGGGCCGCGGGGCCGCCCAGAGCGGCCCCGGGCGAGGAGCAAGTCCCGGGGGGGAGGTGTGGGGCCTCCCCGGGGGCCCCGCCGTGGGACAAAACAACAGGACATCGCACGTCTGAGATGCCATCTTCCTGGCTCTCGCGGGCCGACGCTGATCGGCGCTGGCCGAAGCCAATCGACGCTCATCGACGCTGGATCGACGCACATCGACGCTCAGCCGATGCAGTCAGATCGGGCGAATCAAAGCGTGACAGGGATGGTGCTGCTGATTTCGTACTATGTCTTGGACAGTGATCAGGGCAACGCTGGAGGTGATGATGGGCATGATGACGCGGATGGCAGTGGTGGTCATGATGCTGACGATGATGACGGTAATGAGGAGGATGCATGATGGTGAGGATGGAATTGGATGCGACTGAGGGTTAGAGGGCGAGGAGGGAGGGCAGGCGGAGGCAGCGCATCGTTTCCTCTCCACGATCAGCCCTGGTCCTCCGTAAGGTTCCCCACCATAGAGGGGGTCCCGAAGAGATCTCCCATGGGAAACCCCAAACGGTGCGGTGACAGCCCGTGCGGTGACCTCGAAATCCGGACGACTTCATCGCACGGTCCGGTGTTTGAGACCTCGGAGGCCCCAATCGCCCGGAAACGTCCTCGAAAAACAGCTCATGTCCCCAAGCCGTGCGCGGTCACCCCAAATCCCTGCTGACTCACCAGACGGTGTGGTCACCTGAACGTGTGGGGGTGCCCCAAACTCCCGAGGGTGCTCCAAACGATTCCCTCGGCGGTTCCACCCTAGGATTCTGGCAAAGGCTCCGCACAAGGTTATCGTCGGATTCTATCTGCGGTGATCCCAAGGGTTCTCCATTGGGTTCTCCCTTGGGTTCTCCACAGGGTTCTCCATGGGGTGCTCCGTAGGATTTTCCGGAAGCTTCTCCGTAGGGGTCTGCATAGGGCGAAGCATCAGGCATCCTGTCAACGGCGCAACTTGGAGAAACCTACGGAGAACCCTTTGGAGGATCCTCGGGGAATCCGAGGGAGAACACTAGAGAATCATATGAAGAACCGTTGGGAGAACCCCTGGGGCACCCTCCACGGGAGCCCCCTGGAGAACCCGACACGTCGCGGTGGAGCAGGGCTTGCTGCAACCACACTTGCCGTGCGAGGGCAGGATATCCAGGACCTGTTTGAGATTCTGCCCGTCCGAAACCGAAGGCTTGAACGACAGGAGCCAGTCTGGATTCTTCCCGACACCCTCGTGAGGGGCCCACGTCACAAACCTGTGACAGGTGTAACGAGCATGGCGTCTGACTACCTACCAGACCACCCAAACCCAACCCGAAGACCCGAATTTCGGATTGGGGGGTTGCGGGTTCCATGTGGTTCTTCTCGATGCTCCTCGCCCCCTCCCCCCACCAGAAATGCATGTCAAACTGAGGCCTTCGGGCTGGGCCGGGGTGGTTTGGCGGCTGGTGAGTCTGGGCAGCCGCCCGACTCGGCGCGCAGAGCGAGGCCCGCGCACGGCAGCAGGAGCTGCCCCCGCAAAGCCCAGCCGGTTGGCCAGCGCGCGCATCATCGGGCTGAGAGGGCGTGTGCGGCGAGGGCATCGATTAAGGAACCGTGGGACAAGGAAGCCAGGGCCTGGAAGCCGGCGGACCTCAAAACGTGGATCGGCTATGGATAGCACCACCGCCCTATCAGACAAGGAATCCTCAAGGGTCGGCCGCCTCCTGGGCACATTCCTTCACCAACGCCCCCACCGTACGGAAAACGTAAAGTATAACACGTGTTTGTGCAAGGGCCCCCCGTGAGACTCCACGGGGGCCCTCTCTCCGCGATGGTTGCGGCGCCGATGCGACGGGGAGGGACGACGACGCGAGTAACGAGGACCTGTTAGTTCGTAGCTCATGAGGCCGTGTGGGCGCGATGAGGAGGTATTGGATATTCGGCTTGTTTCGTCCAGGTCCTCGGCCAGGCAGAACCTTATCAAGCCGACGGGTACAACGAGACTGGGCTGCATGAAGCTATCAAGCCAGGCGGCGCGTCATCGGTACCTGAGGATGTCTGGGAACGATGATCAATGCGAACGCTGAGCGTGACGAGTTTGTTCCACGCACGAAGCAACAAGAGGATCGGACACAGAAAAAGCGGATCTTAAACAAGCTAGAATAACATGCAACGAGGTCTCCGTGACACTCAAACTTCTACTCCTTCCCCTAGACGTCTTCGGGCTTCGGGCCACCATCCCACCAACCCTCTGGGCAACAATGGTTCGGGACGCGTCCTCTTTCCGCTGTCGACTAAGCCCGTCGCGCTTCCCCCCCCCTGGGCCTTGCCGCACCCCTTACAATACCCAGCAAAGCCCAATGCAACATCCCACAGCAATAACCCTGCAAACCGACCCTGCAACATATGTACTATGAAGATGCCGCAGGCGTCTTTTGGCCTTGCCGCATGCTCCCAGGCCTCTGGCCGGGGCGAACGAGAGCCATGCAATGCGCTGCAATACCCTGCAACTGACACTGCGATATCTCTTTAAGACCCTGCAGTACCAGTCATCCTCACCATGCATTCCTCCTTCTCCTCCTCCTACTACTCCTTCCCCCCCCCTCCTCCTCGATCTGCTCTTTCCACTCCTCGTAGTCATCGACAGAACGTCGTTCTTTCTTGTCCCCTTCCATACGCATCCTTAACTCTATCATTGTCCTCGCCCGTCGTCCCAGCGTGCCCGTCTCATCACTATTCACGTCTTCGTGATCGCCCACGTCCACCTCTTCGCCCGCATCGCCCTCCACATTGTACTCATGCTTGCCAAATACCTCCCCCTCCTTGCAAGCGCTTCACCAAAATTCTTCCTGTTGCACTTGACCAATGTCCCCCCCCCCTCTTGCGCACGACTGGTGCCCCCTCTCCTCCGCTTTACGTGCGTCCCACCTTTTCCGCAGGACAAGCGTTTCTCCTCTTCAGCCTGACGAGTGTCCCCCCTTCTGGCACTTATAGAAATTCCCCCCCCTGAAGGTCGACTGGTGTCTCCCATCTTGCGCTCGACAAATGCCACACCTGTTCGACTTGACGAGTGCCCCGCCTCTTGCGCTTCACGGGTATCCCCCTTCTTGCGCGTGAACGTTGCAGATCAATCTGCCGTACGACTATCGAACACAAAGCCAACGCAGGACAGCCAGAGACAAATATGACTCAGAACGGTCGGCGACGAACACACCATAGGAAGAATGCTGACAAACGAAGTGCCCGACGGTCGCACAAGATGCCCCCACATGACGACCAAAGACACATGGACCCGGGAACCCTCATACATACAAACACCGCGAGACGGCTGCTGAAACACGCACCGCTCGACGGTTGCACACAATCATTCCACATGACGGCCAACGGCACATGTACCACACGGCTCTCATTAATACACACACCACGAGGCGGCTGCTGAACAACACACCGCTCGACGGTCGCTCAGGATCACACCACATGGTCACCACAAACAAGCCCACCACACGAACTTCGTAGTTATCCAAGGACGTAACAAATCCGGTCCACGAACATGGCAACTAGAATCAGAACTGCGGGAATCAACCATAATACATTGAGATATCTGTAGGCTCTTTTACCATTTCGCCAACAAAAATATTGCCTGACACGCCCAGTGCTATCCATTCACGCAATAACCTTCGTGCTCCAACAGCGGGGGCCGTCGCACAGTTCGCAGTTCCGCACGGGGGATGAGGTCGAGTACTGATGTGCGCAGACGTGCGTAGCACGCCACTCCGCTGGACCTTCAAGGAGACCACGACCGCGACGACAGCTGCACAGTTCGCAGCCCCACCCGCAGGGAGGATGAGGTCGAGCTCTGATGGGTGTAGGACACCACTTCGCTAGACCTCCCAGGAGCCCACGTGAGCAATGACGGTTGCGAAGTTCGCAGCTCCGCAGGGAGGGCAAGGTACAGTTCCGATATACGTGGGCTGCCGCTCCCCTGACTTCCTGGGAGCCCACGAAACCGGCGACGGTTGCGCAATTCGCAGCCCCCCCATGGCGCCGCGAGGTCTAGTCTGGGTGCGCCTGGGACACAAGTCCGCTGGACCTCCCATGAGCCCACGAACGTTGCGACAGTTGCGCATTTTGCAGCCCCATAGGGAGGGCGATCATAGCCTGGGTGCTCGCAGGACACATCTGCGCTGGACCTCCCAGGAAGTCACGAAAATAACGACACCTGCGCAGCTCGCAACACCCGAGGGGAGGGCGCCGTGAGGTCTAGTTCTGATGTGCGTAGGACAGCACTCCGCTTGATCCCATGGGAGCCCCCGCCAGCGACCACGGTTGCGCAGTTCGCAGCACTGCGGTGAGGGCGAGGCCTAGTGCGCGTGGGACACAGCTCGCTCCGCTGACCTGCCAGGAGCCCCCGGAAGTGGCGACGGATGCTTAGTTCGCAGCATGCCCAAAGAGGGGCAGGTCTAGTCTGGGTACGCGTAGGACAAAGCTCCGGTGCACCTTCACGAGACCACGAAAGCAACGACAGTTTTACAGCCCGCAGCACCCCAGGACGACGCGAGGGTCTAGGCTGGGTTCGCGGACGACACCAACCCGCTGGACCTCCTAGGAGCCCAAGAGAGCAGCGACCGTCGCGGAGTTAGCAGCCCCTGACGCAGCGCGAGCAGGATGAAGGGACATGCAGGCGAGAGGAGGAGGAGGAGGAGGAGGAGGATCAGGAGGAAGGGGAGGAGGAGGAGGAGGAGGATCAGGAGGAGGAGACGGAGGAGACGGAGGAGGAGGAAGAGGAGAGGAGGAGGAGGAGGAGGAGGAGGAGGAGGAGGAGGAGGAGGAGAGGAGGAGAGGGAGGAGGGTGGCGAGGAGAGGAAGGGCAGACCGCGCGAGGAGGGAGGCGGGAGGAGGAGGAGACGCGCGAACACTGCTCTATTCAAGACGAGTGCCCAGTCAGAAGGGGACTGGGGAACACACAAGCCACAGACCAGCTGCTGACAAACGCAATGCTCGATTCATGTTGCTCCCATCGCGCACAAGGACCACATCCCAGAAATAATTTCGAGCACCCCGAATATATCGGAACAGTGTCGAACGAGTATCGCCTCCCAGGGCCCCGCACGTGAAAACCTTCCAGTGTCGGTACTTCTATGGTGTTCGAACTTCTTTCTGGCGGTCAAGGCTAAAGTAGGTTGGAACATCATAAGATAAGTTTTGGTACGCGGGCGCGCGAAGACGAGTCGAACGCCACGCAAGCTAGGGCGGGCCGCGCCGAAGCAAAGGGGGAAAACAGCGAAGCGAATGCTCGTCGGGATACGTGTTGCGTCATTAATACAATGGGATAACTAGGATTCTGGCGTCCCCGGAAGGCAAGGCGCAGCTGCTAAAACCACACTCTGGGGACCGAAACCTTCCAGGCCCCTCCAAGCCATCTTTCGGGAACTCCTCCTCCTCCTCCTCCTCCTCGTCCTCGTCCTCCTGCTCCTCCTCTTTCTCCTCCTCCTCCTCCCCATCGCCCTGAGGCACAGACATCGTGCTCCAAGGATCAGTGCTCGTGCTCCTGCTAAACCGCCAGCGCGGGAAGGACAAAAGGGGACTGGGCTGCTCAAGCAGGAAGAGCCGCAGCTGAGCAGTAATCAGGCCTCAGAGTGCGGCGCTGCGGGCGTGGTCGGCTCAGCAGGGCTTTCCGCACCCAGCCTTGCCCTTGCTGTACAGGACTTCCTGCATCTGCCTGAAGTTCTGCTCCTCCGAGCCCGAGCGCTGGAACGACGGAAACCAGTCTGGGTGCTGCTCGAGGCCCTTGTCGAGGGACCACATCACGAACTCGTAGCAGCGGTCCCCTGGCGCGGCATCCAAACAGCCGCTCAGGCCGGGCTTCGCCTCTTCAGCGGACGCTGCCGATGCGGCCGCTGGTGTCGCCTCCTCCGCAACGGCCGCCGGAACTTCAGGCCGCTGCTCTTCCATCCCGGCTTCCTCCTTCGCATCTGGCTTCGCCTCGCGCCAGCGCCTCTGCCACCAAGACTTACGGCCCACGGCTGCGGCTTCAGGCTCGAAAATGGCAGGGGGAGAGGCTGATGAGGCACCCTTTGACGCTGTCTCTGGATTCTGAAGGCGCTGGATCTCTTGAGACGTCTGCTCTGTCCGCCACCGTGCCTTCTGCACGTTCAACGCGTGGTAGCTTGTCAACTGCTGCCTGGTAAGGTGTCTTCCCACCCCCCCCTTTGAGGCTGCCCACCGCCTCCATAGGGCTTCCCACAAGCTGGGCTCTCCAAGCCTTCTGCCAAGACGACCCAGGAAGGCCACCCGGACCGCCGAGGTGGTCCAACACTGGCCTCAAGATCTATCCAACAACCCCCAAGAAGATCTCGAGAGGCACCAATTCCTTGAACAACTTGTCCGCAAGGGGGGTCCTCTCTCAGAAGGAACGCTACATCAGAACCCCCTTTCCTTTGGTGTGTTTGTTTGTTCTGTCTCTTTCTAGAGACAAGAACAGCACATCTCTGAAGAAAGACCGGGCCCCTTTCTCGAGGAGTTCCCCCGTCGTTGCCTCTCGTTTTGAACGCGGCCCCTTCCCCTGCCGAAGCCAAGGGGCGGTCCATCCGGCAAAATGGCACGGCAGCGCGAGCAAGCCCAAAGAACCACCGAGCCCCTCCGGAGCCCGATTGCAACTTCTTTCAAGGCCACGACTGTGCATATATCTAGATAGACACACGGGTGGCACGTGCGTGCCGAGGCTCACACAAACACATGTGCAGGATCTGTGTGTGGTGTGTACGCTGTGTGTGTGTGCTACCTGTGGCTTATGTTTGGTGCGCGTGTTGCGCATGTGCGTGTTGTGTGTGTGAGCTACGTGTGGTTCATGTGTGGCCAACGTGTCATGATTGTTAGATGTGTTGTGTGTGTCTGTTGTGTGTTGCTGGCGGTGGGTGTTTTGTCTGTTATGTGAGTGTTGTGTGTTGTGTGTGTGCGTGTGTGTGTGTGCGTAGGTGTGTGTGTGTGTGTCTTCTGCGTGTCGTATGTGTGTTCAAGGTTTTGTACGTTCTGAAACCAGCGCGCGCGGGTTTCCGCTCGCTGGTGATCGACTTACTCTACCTCGTCGCTGCGGGGGGGCCGCGATCAACAAACAGTGTGCGTGTATGTGTGTGTGTATGTGTGTGTGTGTTTGCGTGTGTGTTCTCTCTGTGTATGTGTTATGTGTGCTTTGTGGTGTTTGTGCGTGTGTGTGTATGTCTGTTCTGTGTGTTCTGTGCGTGTGCACGTGTGTGTCCATGTTTCGGCCGCCGTACTTGACTTGCTTCACCTCGTCGCCGCGCGCGACGCCGCGACCGCCCAAAGTGTGTGTGTGTGTGTGTGTGCATGTGTGCTTTGCACGTCGGGGCTCGCTTTGGGGAGGATATCTCAAGCGAAACGGCCTTGCTTCTAATAATCGTTTTGAAACGAGACTCGCTTTTTGGAGGTTGTCTATGGCGAGACTGCAAGTTTAGAATCCGCCGGCCCCCTTGTGGGGCCACCAGGCTGTAGGGCGAAGGTTCGCAGTTTCCTGTACCAGTTGCAGCTTCCAGTTTCCACTATTACAGTTCTGCTTCTTGCTGCTTACTGTTCCTTGTTACAGTTCTGCTTCTTGCTGCTTACTGCTCCTTGTTGATGGACCGCGCGAGGGGGGGAGGCCCAACACGGGCCTTTTTACCACGCCCTGAGCGTGTGCACACAGATCGGCGGGGTCTCTGAAATTTGCTGGCATCCCTCACGCAGATCGGCGGGGTCAGGGTCCAAAAACACATGGGACTTGCAACAGTTCTGACATTCGGTGGCACCCCTCACGCAGATCGGCGAGGTCAGGGTGAAAAAACACATTGGATTTGCCACATTTCTAAATGTGCGACCATCCCTCATGCAGATCGGCGGGGTCAGGGTCCAAAAACACATGGGATTTGCCACATTTCTCACATTCGGTGGCACCCCTCACGAAGATCGGCGGGGTCAGGGTCCAAAAACACAAGGGATTTGCCACATTTCTGAAATCTCATGCAGATCGGTGGGGTCAGGGTGCAAAAACATATGGGATTTGCAACATGTCTCACATTCGGTGGCACCCCTCACGAAGATCGGCGGGGTCAGGGTCCAAAAACACAAGGAATTTGCCACATTTCTGAAATCCGGTGGCACCCCTCACGTTGATCGGTGGGGTCAGGGTCTAAAAGATCATTGGATTTCCCACATTTCTGGCATTCGGTAGCATCCCTCACGCAGATCGGCGAGGTCAGGGTTCAAAAACAAATGGGATTTGGCACATTTCTCACATTCGGTGGCACCCCTTACGCAGATCGGCGGGGTCAGGGGGAACTTGCCACATTTCTAAAAACTCGGTGGCACCCCTCACGCAGATCGGCGGGGTCAAGGTCGAAAAACATTGGATTTGCCACATTTCTCACATTCGGTGGCACCCCTCACGCTGCTCGGCGGGGTCAGGGTGAAAACACATATGGGATTTGCAACATGTTTTAGATTTGCTAGCATCCCGCACGTAGATCGGCGGGGTCAGGGTTGAAGAACACAGGGGATTTGCCGCAATTCTCACATTCGGTGGCACCCCTCACGCAGATCGGCTGGGTCAGGGTCCAAAAACACAAGGGATTTGCCACATTTCTAAAATCCGGTGGCACCCCTCACGCAGATCGGCAGGGTCAGGGTCCAAAAACAGAAGGAATTTGGGACATTTCTGAAATTTGCTGGCTCACGCAGATCGGCGGGGTCAGGGTCCAAAAACACATGGGATTTGCCACATTTCTGAAATTCGGCGGCACCCCTCACGCAGATCCGTAGGGTCAGGGTCCAAAAACACAAGAAATTGATAACATTTCTGAAATTCGGTGGCACCTGGGACGCAGATCCGTAGGGTCAGGGTCGAAAAACAACAGGTCTCGGCACTGCTTCACGGCGGCGCTCAGAACTCATGATTTAGCTTTTGCATCTCCCATTATCCGAGACAGGGGGCTGGCGGCATGGGGTGAAGCCCTTACGGATAATCGCGATCACAATCATTCAAAACCATTGTGTTTCCCAAATTCCCGGGTAAAATGTTGAATGCCCATTGTTTTTGGACCGTGACGTCGCGATCTGCATGAGGGGTGCATCCGGTGTTCAGAATTTTGAGGACGTCCCGAAAAAATGCCAGAAAACAAAACGTGGTTTCAATTCATCGTCTCTGAGTTATACTCCTCAAAACTGTGCGTATGATTTTGTATATGTATATACACACATCGATGTAAATGTAAAGTTATACATCCATCCAACCATCCATCCATCCATCCATCCATCACTCAATCCATACAGACATACGTACATACATACATAACTACATACATACATGCATGCATGCATGTATGCATGCATGCATGCATACACATACACATACACATACACATACACATACACGTACACGTACACATACACATACATACATGCATGCATGCATACATATACGATCGCTGGCTCAGGGTCCTTGGGCCCCCCCCCAGATGGGATGGGTCCTAGGGTCCTCAAGCCCCCCCCCCCCAGATGGGATTGGGGGGGGGATGAGGAGGAGGAGGAGGAGGAGGGAGGAGGAGGAGGAGGAGGAGGAGGAGGAGGAGGGAGGAGGAGGAGGAGGAGGAGGAAGAGGAGGAGGAGGAGGACGACGACGACGGCAATGACGACGACGACGACGACGACGACGACGACGACGACGACGACGACGACGACGACACCGACACCGACAACAACGACGACGACAACGACGACGACGACAACGACGACGACGTCGACGGCACCACCAGCGGCGGCGGCGACGACGTCGAGCACCAGAGCTGTCAACATGACGCCAACCCCAGCCACACGCCGCACCCACACCGCACCCACAGAGGGGGAGGGAGGGGGGGAGGAGGACCATGGCGTCACCCCGCACACACCCACAGCAACACACCACACCCACACTTCATCCACAGGGGGGGGGGGGAGCCACCACGCCACGCCCACGCCCACAGGGGGAAGGGGGCATCGCGCGGGGGGGGGGGGTCCCGATGGCATTAGCATTGAGGGGAGGGGGCCCAAACCCTCGACCATATATACAAACATACATACATACTTACATACATGCATACATACATATACGTACATCTGTATATGTACGTGTTGATACTCACGCCTAATACCTTCTGGGTCCAGACTTGGTTGCCTGTAGCCCGTGGTCCCCCCCAGTACATCCCGTAGTGGTCTCCTGTGTGGCCTCCCGTGCGCTTCCCAGCATGGCCTCCGATATGGTCTCCCGCAGCGTCTCCGGGAAATCTGGTCTCCGGTAGGGTCTCTCGTATGGTCTCCGGCGTGGTTTCCCGTGTGCTGTCCCGCAGGCGCAATCTGGTGTCATGCCTTTCACTCTTCAGAAGGGGTGCTGTGGTATCCAGCCGCCAGAGGGTACTTGAGTATTCGGGTTTGCCTGGAACTCTCGGCTCAAAAGGGTTCCAAGAGGACCTGGAAGGAGACAGGACTCCCAAGAAGCTTCCCAGACGTGCCGGAACAGCACCAAGAGGGCCCAAGGCAGCCTAAGATGGCCCCAAGAGGCCTAAGAGTGCCCTGCGAGGCCCCCAAGGCGGCCGCAGAAGACGCCCCAGACGGCTGAGATGGGAAGCGCAGGACGGCACAAGACGGCAATACGACGGCGACAAAAGGGCCCCAAGACGGCCCAAGCGGGCGCCAAGAGGGCCCCAGAGGAAGTCATGACAGCCCCAATACGGCACATGAGAGCCCCACAGGCGCCAATGACTGGAAGGAGACTACATGTGCAACACGTTACGGCCTCCTGAGCGGTGCTCTAACTTAAGCGTCGCCACACGGAGTGCTGCGCTGGCGGGGTGGCGGGCCTTGTCGCAGGCAACTGGACATCCGACTTGTCAGCTGCTCGCAGATTTTCAAGCAGCGTGCGCTTTTCCGCGCGAAGGGTCTCCAAGGTCTGGGTTCCGGTATCGTCGATAGCATCCAGCGCCTTGAGATCGGCCTCCAACTTTCTGGCTTTCTGCGTGTTTTGGAGCTGTCGAGCGGTGAGCTCTGCTTCCATCTTGTCAGCTGTCTGCAAGTTGTCGATCAGCTTGCGCTTTTCCTCGCGCAGCGTCTCTAACGCTGGGGAGACGTGAATCTGGTCCATCGCCTTGAGCTCTGCCTGCAGCTTGCCGATGAGATCGGAACTGGGGGGCTGGAAGCGCTTCTGTGCAAGAGCTGGCTTCGTCTCTTCTGCGGGCGAAGCTGGTGCGGCCTCCTTTGCGGCTTCCGCCGGATCCTGCAGGCGCTGGATCTCCCGCGTCGTTTCTTCTGAATCCGACTTCTCTGCTGTCTGGAATTTCTCGATCTGCACGCGCTTTTCTGCGCGCAGGAGCTCCACGGCAGGGGTGGTGTCCATGGCATCCAGCGACTTGAGTTCAGCCTCCAACTTGCTGAGTGCCTGGAGGTTCTGAAGATGCCGCGACTTGCGCTCTGCCTCCAACTGGTGAGCTGCATTAAGGTTGTGGATCAGCTGGCGCTTTTCCGCGCGCACCATCTCCAACGACGGGGTGTCCCTCATGGCCTGCAGTGCCTTGAGCTCCGCCTGCAGATCGCCGATCAAACTGGATGAGGGCGGTTGCTCCTCGGCAGCTGGCGCAGTGGCGTCAGCGGGCTTTACCTCTTCAGACTGCGCGGCTGGGGCAGCCTCCGGTTCCGCCTCCTCTTCTGCGGGAGCGGCTGGCGCGGCTTCCTGAGCTGCTGGCGCTGGGGCCACAGCGGGGCCCGCCTCTTCCATGGGCGTGATGGGTGCCGCCTCCGGCTTCGCCTCCTCCACAGCGACGGCTGGAGCCTCAGCCGGAGTCTCCTCGGCCTCGGCGTCGGGCACCTTCTGGACCTCGTCTGCGGGAGGCTCGAGACGATCGGAGCTGGGCGGCGACGTCGCAATGGAGCAAGGCTTGCGACAACTACCCTTGCCGTGAGAGTGCAGAATCTCCTGGATCTGCTTGAAATTCTGCTCATTCGAGTCCGAACGCTTGAACGACGGGTACCAGTCCGGGTGCTTCTCGAGACCCTTCTCGAGGGACCACGTGACGAACGTGTGGCAGGTGTCCCCGGGCACGGCGTCCAGGCAATCGCTGTCTGGTCCGGCGCGCAGGGCGACGCCCTCACACCGAAGCAGGAGCTGCCCGATCAACAACAGCAGGATAACCGGCGCGCGCGTCATTGTGCTGAGAGGAATTGTGCGGTAGGTGTGGGTTCTGGGGCGTGCGCACCCTGGGGCGATCCGCGATCTGACAGGTGGCCGCAACCTCGAGAGGCGGCGGCTGCGACAACGATCGGTGCTGCGGTGGGGACGACGGCGCGAATAACGAGACCTGAGCTGGCAGGTGGTAACTCTTGGGAGGCTTCAGGCCAGAATGTGGACCTGCTGGGCAATATTCAAGCCGATACTGCTCCGATGGGCAGGCCCAAGTGTGAGGCAACTGTCTCTCAGCCAAGAAGGGGGTCAGGCCAGAGCTGTGCGGAGGAAGTGCCCACAGCGGATCAGCCTCCCACGAGTTGCAACCGAAGGACGAGGACTGGGCGTGATCACTATGCTCCACGGGCGGCACACGAAAGCGACTCGATCGAACAGACCAGTCCGCCAAGCAACAAAGTACGCCACACGGAGCAAGTCCGTGGAAGCCACACGGACAATGCGCAATGCCTCGATCTCATTCCACCTCCCCCCCCTCCCCCCCTTCTCATGCCCACTTGCCCACGTTGACGTTCGGGCCAGCGGTCGGGCCCCGAGCGGCCGCTCGGGGCGAGTCTGGCGTCCCTGGGAGACGATCGACAAGGCGCAGCGACATAACAGATCACCCCGAGGCCCGACCTCTAAACCAATGTTCAAAACCTCCCCATCCACCTCATGCTTGCCCACGTCCTGCTGCTTACCCTCTTCCTCCTGTGGCATCGGCTGATCAAGCCAACGGAACCCAATTTGGAAGGAAACCAATGATCTGTCTTGGCAACTAGGCAACTAGGCCTGAGAGGAAGGCGCTGTGGCCGGGTCGGTTCAGCAAGGCTTGCCGCACCCAGCCTTGCCCTTGCTGTAAAGGAGTCCCTGCATCTGCTTGAAGTTCTGCTCATCCGAGCCCGAGCGCTCGAACGACGCGAACCAGTCCGGGTGCTGCTCGAGGCCCTTACCGAGGGCCCACGTCACGAACTCGTGGCAGCGATCTCCTGGCGCGGCGTCCTGGCAGCCGCCGAGGCCAGACTGGCGAGACTCCTCCTTCGCGTCTGGCCTGGCCTCCTCCTTCGCGTCTGGCGTCGCCTCGCGCCGGCGCCTCTGCCACCACGGCCTGCGGCCTGCGGCATCAGGCTCGACGATGGCAGCAGGCGCGGCTGGTGGTGCAGCGCTCTTTGCAACACCCTGTGGATCCTGCAGGCGCTGGATCTCTTGCGTCGTCTGCTCTGCATCCGTCTTGACAGATGTCTTCAACTTGTCAAGCGCGGTACGCTTTTCCTCCCGCAGGATCTCCAAGGCCCTGGTACCTGTATCGTCCATAACCTCCAGCGCCTTGAGCTCTGCCTCCAACTTGTGTACAGTCTGCAGGTTCTGGAGCTGTCTCGCCTTAAACTCAACCTCCAACTTGTCGGCTGTCTGCAAATTCTGGATCAGCTGGCGCTTTTCCTCGCGCAGCGTCTCCAACGCAGGGGATATGTGAATCTGGTCCATCGCCCTGAGCTCCGCCTCCAGCTTGCCGATCAGGTCGGACCGGGGCGGGCGCTCCTCTGCGTCCTCTTGGCGCTTCTGTGCAAGAGCGGGCTTCTCCTCGTCTGTGGGCTCGTCAAATGCAGCTGCCGATGCCGCCGGATCCTCCAGGCGCTTGACCTCCCGCACCGTCTGCCACGAATCCGACTTGTCGGCTGTCTGCAGCTTCTGAATCTGCGTCCGCTTTTCCGCGCGCAGGATTTCCAAGGCAGGGGTGGTGTCCATGGCCTCTAGCGCCTTGAGGTCGGCCTCCAATTTGGTAGCAGTCTGCAGGTTCTGGAGATGCCGCGTCTTGAGTTCTGCCTCCAACCTGTTAGCAGAAAAAA